GAAATGGGCTCCCTGCATATTCTTGCACGCGTTTGTCTTTCCCACTACGGAGCAGGTACAGGGTTGAACATGTGCATTTTTTTTTTTCAAAGTGGATCCTCAACCATACCTTTAACATAGTTTTGAATGCTTATTTTTTAACATGTGTGTCTAGTTCAGATCAGTATTATAGTTATAATAAGTCAAATTGGATGGAGAAAAATACATTTTTATATAAAAACCAAGCTAAATTATTGTAAAAGTTTTAAGTTTAAGTCACAACAATTTAAGGAATATATTATCTTAATATTAAAGTTCAAAGGAATGATGCTCTAATAATATGTAACTTTTTTTTTTTGTGCCAAGCCCTAATGCTTCATAACCCTTAAAAACACCCTTTACTCTATTAAATATCAACTGTGAGTGTGGGGAATGTTTTTTAGTATTATTGCAATTAAACCCTTCTTTGCTGATTCATGTTCATACTGATCTTTTGATGAGTCATCTGTAGTGATAAGCTCCAATACTGTAGGGGTGGGATTGCCTCCTTACTATCACTCTGATGGTTTGTTCCTCCACAGATTCCTGTCAGGAGTCTCGCTGGGCTTCTCAAATTCTAGATCTTTAAGAGGAAAGATTAATTTTGACTTTTAATTTTTGCTTCCAAAATGGGACATGAGTAATACTGAAGAAATGTTTGCACTATGGTTTATGTGAGGTGGGGGTCAGGGTAGTGAAAACTAAATGGGAATGTCTGAAAATTATTATTTATTTGAACTCTTTATGAAATATTTCTTTAAAAAAAAAATTTTTTCTAAGTTTTTTTTTTTTTTAATTATTTCAGGCTCACTCAAAATCACCTCTGAGACAAAGATCCAATTTAAAAAAAATATTTGTTTCTTATTAAATGAATTTTGTGTTAAAAGGCAAGCATTCATTTTTACATAAGTTTCATATATACACTAAACATTCCACTCAGAAACCTTTAAAGTTGCTTATTTATTTATTCTCATTATTTTACTTTACTCTGGTTACAAGTTAGAGATCAATTCTTTGTTAAAAACTTAAAATGATGTTCGACCAATTTCCAAAACACCAATTTGATGATTATAGTAAATCTTTGCACAAAAGGCCTTCCGGTGAATAATAAGTACATATAATCAAATTATATGCTTTAACTCCTATAAATAACCCAGGTAGCTTTCGTTTGAAGAACTTCATGTATCTATGATTAAACTGTCTTCATTTTATGACACCTTTTAAATAAATTCAAATATAGAATTACTGCTCAGCAAATGATTGTCTTTTTTTATTCATGCAAAATATATTATTACTCTAGTTCATTGAGGAAGAAGTAAAATGTAAAGTTTACTTATTTTGAGATGCCATTAAATATTTTTACATCAATATAATCAATTGGATTTAGCTGTTTAGAAGAAAAAATAATAGAGTAGTTTTATAGGTACATATATTTCTGGTGCTTTCTCCAGAAACCATATTTATCAGATTCAATACAAATGGAAAGTCAAATAGGGTCTTATCCTGTGTAAAATCAAAGACAAAGAAAATGAATTAATAATAGAAATTTTAAAACTTATAGTTACATTCATCCTAACCTAGACTCGCATTAAAATGACTCATCAGAGAAGAAAATGTTGCAAATTCAGAGTAACAGCGTCTACTTTTTACATATCTGTTTAAATGAGTGTTTCTGGGGAAGTTTGAGGTGACTCACTCCAGTTAGTAAGCAGCTCAGGCTTCCTTTCTTGTGCTGCAAAGCAGTTTTCTTCCCTTTTCTCTGCCACACTCTGACTTGAATAAAAATGAGTCCTATAACAACATCACCACACATCCTTCAGACTTGAAGGTTTCCAGAGGAGACCAACTAAAATCCCTTTGCTTGGTGCTTGTAAACTAGCACACTGTGGTGTTGCTCCTTGGCTCCACTTTGACTCTTTGATTTTTTTTTCAGGTTCAGGAGGACTTTGACGTGCTGGAGTTCTACCGGATGTGCTGGACCTTGTGCTACAACAAAAACTTTCATCCTCAGCGTCTGATCATCTCAGATAATGATGCATTCAAAGTCTGGTGCATTTTTAACTTTCTGTCAGAAGACAGATACCCGCTGGTGGTGGTTTTTGAGGAGGTGAGGAAGATGATGCTTCCTATTTTAGGTTAAAGTCTGAAAATCAGAGGAAATAACCCATGTATCCAAGTATCTGGGTTACATCATTCCTAATTTTAACTTTCAAATATAAACTATTGTGCCAAAGATGTGAGTCAGCTATTATTTCTGTATGCTTTGCACCTCTGGAGACAGACTTTCTTGTAGTTAGTAGTCCATTTTTTTAGGAGAGGTTTTTCTGACTGTTGTCAATCTAATCAATTCTGAACTTTTGTGTCAATGGGCGAGAGGAGGTGTTCACCCTGGACAGGTCTCCAGTTCATCGCAGGGCAACACAGCGACAAACATGACAAACAACCATATTCACACACACTCACACCTAAGTGGACTGTAGAGAAGCCAATTAACCTAACAGTCTCGTTTTTGGACTGTGGGAGGAAGCCAGAGTACCCGGAGAGAACCCGCGCATGCTCAGGGAGAACATGCAAACTCCATGCAGAAAGACGCCAGGCCGGGAATCGGACCCAGAACCTTCTTGCTGCAAAGCAGCAGTGCTACTCACTGCGCCACTGAGCAGCCCCTGCACCAGCAATGAACCAAATTGATCGCATTTTTTTTTGTAGGATATTAAAAAAAAAAAACAGCAAAGTTAACCCATTTAAGAGTATTTTTTACAAACACAGGATGATCGCAAAGGAGCTATTAGCTGAAAACCTGGTGGAAACCTACCGTAGATGATCATTTGAAGGATAAGCTCTCTTGTCACATGGAAGGTCTTTGCCTATGAACTAAATTTAGATTCATTGTTGTTGCTAAAACAACATTTTTTAAATGGAAAGTTGAAGAAAATGATGCAATCCACAAAATTGAACTCTGACAATTTTGAATTAAAAAGGGGGACCTTAAAGAGCTATGATGGCCTCACAGGTTTTATTTTAGAAATCATTTTCTGTTTTGTGGGGTTTTTTTTGCTCTATTTTTCAAAGTTTTTCGTTTCTCTTTTTTGGATTGAGTTTTACAGATTAAATTCTCTTCACTGTCTTTGCTCTTGAGTGAAGAATGAAGATGCATTTCTATTGGTCTGTATGTGAAAAACAACATTTTTATTGGTCAATGTGAGTGTTGTGAGCGATTGTTTGTGTTGACCTTGAAAGGAAGTGAATGTGATCTGTGAGATAATTTCAAAATAATGCCATTTGTAAAATTCAGTCTGAAAAAAATCTAATTTGAAAATATAAAATTCCTTTTTGGAAAAAGTAGTTTTAGAAATAAAAGAAATCTAAGAAAATGACAAAGTTCATCTTGATAAATATTTTCAGAATAACTTTCTCAAAGTTTAACTTCACACCTACATAACGTATTCTTTGCTTGAAACAATAATGGAACAAAATCAAATCCATATTTGCATCTTTACTTTCTATTTCACAAAGACATAACTTTTAAGAAAATGCTGTAAATGTTTGTAAGCTTGAAATTTTTGTAACTTTTGTGAATTTTTAACAGACTATATACAACAAGCTGTCACAGTCAGCTGGAAGACATTCCCAGGCTTTTAGAGACCTGAGCTGACCAATGTATGAGCTGCAATGCTCCACTTGCTCCCCAAAAACAAAGACAGAGGAAATTGAGCCTGGTTTAAAAGATTTGTGCAGAATTTTACTCGTATTTTAAATAATCTTGGAGCAGACTTTGTTCATACCTTAGTGGTCATTTATAACCATGAAACTTATGTCACTGTGCTTTACTGCAGGGATGAAAAAACTGCTCTGATAGACAAGGACTATGCGTTATACAGCATGGTGTATTATTGTCACATTTGGGGGTTCTGCTTGTGTTTAATTAACTATTATTTATTTGTGAAAAATGGAAATCTTCCAAAACTTCCCTCAAGTATTTTTCAACACCAAAACATATTTATAGTAAAGAACAATTCAAGAGGTTTGTAGTTTCTTATAGATTTGATGGAAAATGTCACCTGTTTCCACAAGAACAACTAAAGTTTCTTATAACTATACTTTTCTTCTTAACTTAACAAAGATTATCCTACATTTTTATAACTATTCTGAACCTCTTACCATTATATTCAAGCATCTTTAACCGTCTCTTAATGCATAGAGTAATAGTATCTTTGGTCCACCATGTAGGTTGAGTATTTTTTGCGAAAGCTGACTGAGGCCATGGGAATGGGATGGTGTGAGGAAAAGTTCACTGACTACATGAAACAGAAGAAAAGGAAGAACTGGCTGACTGTCTGGGAGCTGATGGAGCTGGTGGGGGTGATCTACTTCAGCAAAGACGTGGACCGCCATACTCTGTCCATGAGCATCAATGAAGTGTTTTCAGAGCTCATACTGGACATCCTCAAGCAGGTGGGAAAAAGGGGCCATCCCTTTGGGTTTCTAATCACAATTACAGGAATTATCTTGGTTAAACTAGGTGTCGTGTTTTAAAGGGTTACATGATGAAGAAAGGCCACAAGCGGAAGAACTGGACAGAGCGTTGGTTTGTCCTTCGACCCACTTCGCTGTCCTACTACGTTTGTGAAGACCTCACAGAGAAGAAGGGGGACATCATTCTGGACCAAAGCTGCTGCGTGGAGGTAAATAGTGTCCTTTCATTAAAGGAAGAATGAAGGATAAAACTTTGTATAATTGGATTTTATACATGTATTTCTTATAAATCCTTTCAGTTTTACATGATTTGTTTATCTCTTCCAGTCTCTGCTTGATAGAGATGGAAAAAAATGCCTTTTCATTATCAAGTGCGTCGATAAAAGCTTTGAGATCAGTGCTTCGGATAAAAAGAAGAAGCAGGAATGGATTCAAGGTGACTAGCTAACTTCCCCATGACTTGGAGTCCTGTCACTTTGAACCTGCCATCAGTGATCTCCTCCTTCCTCTCTTCTGGTAGCTATACAGACGTGCATCCAGCTGCTGAGGCTCGGCCTGCTGTCTCCCCACCGTGAGGCCCGGCTCAGGCGTCGGGAGCTCCGGCAGAAGCAGCTAATGGATGAGGAAGACCTGGCAGAGAGGATGAAGAATCTCCAGGCGGCTAATGAGGCCAAACAGAGGCAACTGGAGGAGATGAGGATGGTCTGTTCTTAACATCAAAATACAGATAAGATCAAATAAACTCTATTGATCTCACAGTGGAGAAATTCAGTTGTCACATCGGCTCAATAGTCAATGTGACAGTAAAAGCATGAAGCCAGCGTAAAAGACGCCATCTTGGTCCCATCTTAGGCTATCGCCAGTCAATGGATCAGCATGTCTATGAACTTAAAGACCACGTTGGGAGAATGTGCCTAAAAATGGGGGGAAAAAAATAAGTGCTAAGAAAACATACTGCAGATAAAGTGTTTGAAAAAGCAGCTGTTTAAGGAAGGTAAAGAAATATTTCTTGGTTACAAGAGCTAAAAAATAAGGTACATCTAAGGGAAACTGATCAATCTTATCGACTTTACAAGATTGCAACGTAATTGTTCACTTTGGAAGCAAACCATAAATGAAATAAGGTTTGACTTAAGACTTTTGCATAACAGTTTAGGAGCAAAACATGGTAACTGAATGGTTGCGCATTGCTGTGTGTAATAAATCATTTAGGGGATATCCCTGTCTATAACAAATTATCTTTATGATGATTTCATGATATAAAATATTTCTTGTAAAAGCTGTTTATTAATGGTTTAATCTTTCAAAATGTATCTTTAAGGTGATCCTTAAAAAAGAAAAAACATTTGTGAAAATGAGCATTAACTCAGTTAACCCCATCACCGGGTTGGGGGTTTGGTTGGAGGGATTCCCACATACTTGGGTTTAACACAATAGAAAATACATTAAAGGGGAAGTAAAACTTCATGCAAACAGCATCAGATAGGGACACCTGTGTGTGTTTAAAACCGGGTGCATGAGCTCAGTACTTAAAGCTGAGCCATATTATTCCTCATATCTCACTTCTCTTTTTCTTTTACCACTGGGCTTTTCTTTGCAAATGTCAAAACACTTTTAGATCTTGTGGACATTTTTGGAGAAGCTATGAGTGCATGTCTGCAAAGTTTTTTTTTTTTTAAGTCAATAAAAGTAGATTTAAAGTGTTTCCTTTAGAATGTCTTAATTAACTAAACCTCAGAAGCTTTTTACGCTGTTTTATGTTTGTTTGTGGCCTTGGTTCAAGCAGAGCGGTAACGGCTCCTTCCTCTATTGTGCTTCACAGAAAATGGAAGAGGTCCAGGCCAAAGCAACACTGGAGGAGCTCAGGAGGCAAAAAAAACAGTCAGACCTGCACGATCGATACAGATTAGACTTGGAGAGAGAAAAAATGGTAAAAGTTTTTCCACACCGCCTTGTACAAATGTTCACACCTAATTTGTGTTAATGGTTAAAAGATACAGTTAACATTTTTTAAAAGACTGCACATATAATGATGATGACGACAAGGGCTCATCAAATACACTCTAATGTATTTGGGATTTGCAGCTCACAGCAACTAAATAGATATTCGTTCAAGAAAAACCTGAAGTCAAGTAAAAAATATCCAAAAATAAGAAACGTGTTGCTTAGAGACCTGAGGAAATAAGGCCTCATTTTAATTTCAAAGGCCAATATAGTACCTCCAGATTCGTCACTTTGGGTCTCTCTTGAGGAAAGGCAGGTAAGCATGAAGATGTCAAATTTAGAAAACTGCATCATTTTGGCCAAGTCTCGCAAAAGAACTGATTTCCTATTTTTATTCTGGTTCCTCTGGTTTTGGCTCTCTGAAGGTTAGAGGGTGACCTGGAGGCGACATTCAATCCACGCAAATGGAAAAAAAATTTTAATGGGGTTTTCCGCAAGTTAAATACCTACACATGAGCAAATATGCAGCCAGAAACTTACATTTTCCTTTACATTTTACACCTCTGTTATAATTGCACATTAAACAAGGGCGATTTTTATTTAATTTGCTTAGGTCATGTGACTGGATTGAAATCTATTGGGAAGTGTGTCCAGACACTAAACCAGATGGGTCTAATGTGCATAATAGAATTCACTGTGCAGATTGTACTCACCTGGTTCAGTGTCTGGGCAGAACAAACTAAAGTCTTGGAGATTACTTATTAACTCCTCATCTCCTAACTCTGAAATCTTCTCCACAAGCTTCTGTTTTATTGACCATCTGGTCAAAAAAAGTCAATTTTCATTAAAAGTTAATGAGTAAGGGAGTCATTTCTGTTAAAGATATATTAAATGTTAATGGTAATTCTTAGAATATTTAACCAACCTGATTAAACATAACATTAGATACTGAATTACAATACAAAAAAATCATGGAAAGCCATTTCTCAACCCTTCAGTTCAATCGAACAAGATCACTATGTTTAAATCCTTAGAGATTCATAAGCTTTTCAAAGTGAAACTGGAATACATATATGTGTATATATGTATATGTGATCATAAATGCATGGTTTATTAAATAATCTGTCGGTAAAATTAAGGGTGATCCTCAATATTATTCAAATTATTAAACATCATATTTATCCAAAAATTAAAGAGTCCCAATTTAAAAATACCAAACCAAATATAGCTTGGTAATACATTTTTAAAGACATTCAAATTTGAAGTAGGTGCTTATGAACCTGGTTAAATTACATAAGAAAGAATTTCCTTTATTTTCTGCTTTTTAATCTGGGCTTTACACAAATGGTTTAGATAGCCTTGATTTTGCACATAGATTCTACATTGACAGTCTAAGTTGGTATTTCTGATGTTAAAATATTAATATCTGCAAATGGAAAGTTATTTATTAAAGGAAAAGTCCAGTCAACAAGGAATGATCAATGGATCATTATCTATACCTAAAACTAACATGTTCGCAGTGATTTGATGAATTTAGAGTTAATCAGTAAGTACGGACCGGCCACTTTTGCCTGAATATAGTAACATCTCCTGACGTCTTCTGGCAGTAACGTCACGGTGTGGTAAGTCTAGTGCCATTTTCCCCGATTTACAAGCAAAATCGTACTGTAGCTACTAGACATAAAAAAAAAAAGAAATTGAAAACAATCCACTAGACTTTGTTTCCAAGTTAGATGTTTTGCTTACCATCCAAAACGGTTTTTCAATTCAAAAAGTCAGGAATAGCGTAGAGTTCGAGGTTTTATTCAGTGTAAAATTTATGATGATTTGGAGTTACTTCTCCTCTATCAAAACATTGGAAAAAAACAAAAAAAACAATGCTATTACAAGTCTGAGTATTTTTTATTTTAAAAAGGCCTTGATATTCAGCCTTCATTCCCCTGTCATTTTGACTCAGCTTGACTTATTCCTCCACATCTGTTTTTTTACACACTGATGTGCGTTTTTCCTTACTGAAAGTAGTTAATATTATTTTAATTTTACTTGTTTATTGCGTAAATAAGGTAAGGGGGAAAAAAATAAAAAGTTAGCTCCGTTGCGTGTGTTTAAAAAAACTTTTTTAGGTATAATTATCAAAATGATTCCTATTTTACTGTACATGTGTGAATATAAAAGGACCTATTTTTTTTTTTAAGAAGTTACATTACAAAAAAAGGGCTTTGTCCTGTCAATGTCCATGTCTCAGTTACAATGTGGGGCACAAGTATTGTCCCAATTCTCCAGATTTCGTACGCTTGCAACCAGCGAACTTCCTCCAGGTGATCACTTCATAGAAGGGTGCAGAGTTTAGTGTGAGTATTGGGACTGTCCCTGCCTCTGCAGTCAGAGAGCATAGCGAATCTCCTCTGTTTCCCCATTGAACATGAGTCCCAGATGTGTGAAGTTTCAATTGATCCCCCTGAATTAAAAATCAAACTATAACATTTGCCTTATTTTGTTTCTTTAAAACTATGGCAGTGAAATAGATGGCATATAGGCTTGGTTTCAACAGCGCTAACTGACAATCTCTGCCTATCAGGCAGAGAAAGCGGTTGTTTTATATTACTTTTGAGACCTAATTTTATATGCATAGTTGGTTTTCTTACTATTCAAATGCAGATGGGTTAAAAGTAAAACATATTTCTGTGGTGTGACAAACTGAGAACACACATTTATTTTTTACTTAACATGGTCTTTACCCAATCTGTGGTTCCTGTTGGCTCTTAAAAGTGCTAAATGGTGTTTAAAAATAGTCGACAATAAATTTACTGTCTGCCTGAAGCTGCTTTTAGAAACAAGATAATTCAGTACTGTAACAGTACTGTCTGGATGTCCTTGTTAATGTTATCAGTCTTCATCAGACCCTTAAGGTGTCATTATAGAATAAAATAGAATAGAATAGAAAATCCCTTTATTGTCCCACAATGGGGAAATTCTGGTATTTACAGCAGCAAAAAGATTATAGAAAAATGTTCACACAAATATGGATCTTAGAAAAATGTATAAGAATAAAATAATAGTGAAGAGTTAAAAAATAAACAATACAATACTGCACTGTAAAGTGTTTAATGACCATTATAAATGACCAATATACAGCTGAACATTTTTACAGAAATTGATAATTGAAAATGGCAGCAACATCAGAGATGTGCACAATTACAGCAGCATGTTATTTAACTGAATAAGGTAGAAACTGCAAAATCAGCATGAATGTAAACATCTTACTGAGGTTGTTGGGAACAGTGGTGGTTATAGAGTCTTACAGCTGCTGGGAGGAAGGATCTGTGATAAAATAACATTAAGGTGCAGCAGTCTGTCACTGAAGAAGCTCCATTTATTTATACTTTTTATTTACTGTGGCAACCATACATATTTATCTGACTCTCCATCTCACTCACCAACACATCGGTTAAACTGTGTTTATTTTTCCCCTCTTAGTTGCAGTTTCCATTTATAACCAATAAATAATATTAATGAGCTGGTTCATTTAAATACACAATGACATTCATGTGGTGCTTTACATGAACCATTTATGGTTGATGACCATGCAGATGGCTTGAACATGAGGTGGAACCTTGAAGGCAAACTTTGAGCCATGGCTGTGATTAATGAAAGTTTTTTCTTTTTGTTTTTTGTGTCTATGCACAATTTTAAAAATCAGGATTTATTCAGTTATATATATTTTTTGCTGTACTCCATTTTCAAGTGTTTGGTAGATGTACACTTTCAGAATTGATTCCATTCAATGCTTTATGACTTGGGGGGCCTCACGCAGAAAAGGGTGTGCAACCTTTATGATAAAAGTTTGCGGTAGGGAGAAATCTTGAAAACTTGTGGCATAAAAACAAACGGGATGTATAAAGCTGAGTGTGGGCTTGTCAGCACACAGCTTTCCTTTATATATCTCAATTTGGTGGAAAATCAGACGCAGCTGGAGGACCATCTTGGGTCGGCCAGTTCCAAGGCTCCCTCAGTGTGTCAGTATAAGCATGGTGCTGTGAGGCCGTCACTCAGTCTTTTATCTCATACACTTTATGGGGTGCGATTTATTACAACCAACCAACAACATACTGATTGGCATCAACAATTCAATAAAAAAATAGGCTAAAAAAAAAAGAAATGTTACTTTTGTTTTTTGAAATCAAAAAACATTGCGTAGCTGCCCAAAGAGCACAAGTATTTCTGATGCTGATCATTGTAATGTTTAAAAAATAGTTATAAAATAAATATGACCCCCCTGTTCCTATTAGGAACGCTGTCTCTATACAGACCAGGATAGACTTTAAGTTTAAAATGATTCAGGACTAAAAAAAAAAAAGAAATTTTTTGGTAATTTTGGCACTTAAATTTTTTAGATAAAATGGAAAATAATCAAATAAGTGCAAATTGTGTTTACAAAGACTTGCCTTTGGATCTTTTTTATTTTTATTTATTTATTTTATCAGGACAGAGCACATTAATGAACAATCTTATACTTTTGTACAGATTGTAAATGAGCCAGATTATAGCTAAGTTGCTCATTTACATCTGTCATCCTGAGGCAGTTTCTGCAAGGTTTTAGATGTTGTTAGTCTTTTGTAACCTTCTGGATGAGATATCTGTATGCTTCTGGAGCAACATTGGTAGGTCGGTCAATCCCATGTTTTAATTATTGTTTCACTGGAGTCTCAAAGGCTGTGTCCGAACGTCCGCCCTAACGTTGCGCCACTTAATGAGCTTCCAATGTCCAGTGGATGAAAAAGTAGTGGATTTCAAATTTCCCACAATGCACCTTAGAAAAGTAGTGTGCATCTATGGTCACTAGAGCAGAGGGGATATATCCCACAATGCTTTGCAAGAGCTCTCCTCACAAAGCGTCATGGGATTTGTTTTGCGTGAGAGAGAGAACAAAGATGGTACAGGAACTGTGCGGGGACGCTGAGTCACTTGACCAACAGGGAATGAAAAGTAGTTAACAGTAAGTTAACTGAGTTCACTATGAAGTCCGCTATATAGCCCCCCCTCCATATAGCGATGGGGTTAGGGGCCAGGGCAGACATGATTTGTGTTATATCTTCTCGTATGCTGTTAATTTAGTCTATAAAAGTCAGTGCGCAGTTGTTGATATTTACCTTAGCTGACATATAAATGCGATCAATCACAGTTAAAACCTTTTTGGACAAGGATGGCAGTTAAACATTAACATATTTTTTTCCTTTTTATACATTTTGAAAGTCTGTATTATTTTATCCCTTTATTTTTGTCTCACATCAAGATCTGTGAGACAAAAAAAGAAAAATTAAAAAGATTTTTTTTTTAATTGCACCATTTGTTGTAGCTGTAAAAACATGGGCCGTCTCCTTTCACTCAGACTCTTTAGTCTTTTTTTTTTCCCTTAAAGCTGAAACTACATGAGATTGGATTTTAACAAGGAAACAGTTGTACTTTATTCCTGAGGGGAAGTTTTCTAAACAGAGAGATTGTGTTTCCTGGGTAACAAGAGATCTGGCCTCCTTGTTTATTCACTTTCCTATATAGAGAGTAAAGTAAATGTGCCTACTATCCTTTTTTCATTTGTGGCAATGCAAACATCTAAATTTTCCTGCTAAAAAGGTCCTCAAGTCAAGAAAAAAAATTTTTATTTTTTTTTTTTTTTACATTTGCTAAGGTATCTAACATAATGCTGGTTTTCTCTACTTTTCTTTTTTTGCTCTGAATTTTCTTGAGTCTTAGATTCAAATCAGGTATTTCTTATGATCTTATTGCTGTTGTATTGGTACACAAACAGTTCTTTTTGTTGTACATAAAGATCACAAAATATTTCAGGTACGGCAGGAGATGGAGGAGCAGATGGCTGCGAAGTCCAGCGAGCTGGAGCAGTACCTTCAGCGGGTCAGAGAACTTGAAGACATGTACCACCGATTGGAGGAGGCCTTAGAGGATGAGCGACAGGCCAAGCAGGATGAGGAAGCCATGAGGAAGCTGCAGGCCAGGTCTGAGGAACATATTTAAGATGCTCAAGACAGAGTATTAGTTTTATGTTTAGGAGGCTATTAATAGCTGTAATTTTAACTGTAAAACAGCCAATGATCACCATTTTGTTGTAGTTATGGTCAGCGTGTGTAGGTGTGCAGCAATTCATCCGGTTCAAATCTCTGCTATATTGTTAAAAAAAAAAATTGTTCTAAAACTTTTGACATTTAGATTTATGAATGTAAATCGGTTCATTTTAAAAGTTGCTTCACATTATTATTACGGTATCATGGTGCCAATGCCCAACAACTGTCGAGGCCCTTTACATGATGAAAAGAAGCAAAAGTCATTTCTGATTGTATAGAATCTAGTTTGGTTCAGCTCAGTTAAGTTCATTCAGTGTCATTCCAATAAAGTGAGGTCCAACTCAGTCCTCATTATTAGAACACATTCAATTCACTTCAAAAGAAAGTTATGGGGAAGCTCAGTTGATGGTATGGAGATGTTTTATTCGCAGACATCCCAAGTCTCCCGGAAGTTCCGGGAATCTCCCTGATATAGATGGTTGTTCACGGATGCCTGCGAGTCGGATAAATTATCCCGGATTTTACACTCTGCGAGGTGGTGTTTTTTAATGTGAGTGAGAGAGGGCAGGTAATAATTCATGCATCATGTTCGGATAAGAACTACTTTGATTGTGCAGACAACAAGAGAGCTTGGGGAGGAGGTTACTTGTGAAACCTGTGCAACTTGTCTGTCCAAAGCGATGCTCTGATCAACCAGGGTTCCAGGCGACTGGTTGATCAGAGAGCTGATTGGATCAGTCCGATAAGTTTCTCTGGGTTACTCTCTGGCAGTCACCAAGTTACCACTCAAAGCTGTGCATCATGTGAAACAGCAGAGGTTGAATCCTCGAGTAAAAAACGAAAATATAGGACTAATTTTAAAGCAGATATATCCACGTCTAGTGAAGATTAAACAGTGGCGGATCTGAACTAAATTTACCAGGGGGCCAGGAGAGGGGGCAGCTCAGGGCAAGTTATTCAGATATATTTAGAGAGCTGCATGAAGTGAAATTTCTTTTCAATTAGGTCCAATACAAATTCGATTTCTTTTGAGGTCAATATACATTTTAAATTTAAGAATTTTACATATTTTTCACTTAATCTAAGTTAAAACTACCGTTTTCTATAAAATTGGAATTAGAACTCAAGAAAAACTGTTAAATTCATCTGTAAAAAAGTAAAGGAGTTTTTTTATTTGTTGTGGAAAAAAACATTTAGCAGATGAAAACTGGGATCCTATCTCAGTACCACTGAAGCTATCACCTTATTGTTTTTGAATAATTAGTAAAACAGAATTTGAAAAGAAAAAGAATGTAGTTCCAAAGGACATATCAGTAACCATGTCTGTTCCAGCGCATATCATTAGAATTTCTGGTCCCTGTCTAGAAATGGCAATGGTGAGGAATGATGACACCGTGGCGAGGTGTATTATATGCTGCAGTCCCATGAAAAACAGAAAGAATAACCGATGTTCAAGGCTACAAGATTAAGCATCTCCCTGAAATGAGTTTTTGGAACTTGGGATGTCTGTATTTGCAATAATCCTTCCTAAAGATCAAGCATCTAGTGACTATAGGAAGGAAAAACTCCCTTTTAACAAGCAGAAACCTCCATTAGTATTATCTCAGGTTTTGCGTCAATCTGCAGCAAACAAAGTTGTTTTAGGAAAGAAAACGGATGCACACAAACCCAAAGAAGCATTGAGGTAGACGTATCGTCGCAGGGGAAGAAAGACTGGATTATCTAAATTAATTGCAGTGATAATTTTGTTAATTATTCTAGGAAAGATCCAGAGCTATACACAGAAGCACAGAGCGGGGAGTACTTTCCATGGAAAAATCTGATCTACATCTTAAGTGATAGCAAAGCATTACAGGCAGCTGAAGCTCTCTGGTTACTGCTGATCTGTTATTTTTTCAGCTAAAGGATGATGCTGGGGTTTTTCACCCTTGCTCCTCTCCTCAAGGCCATCCACATATTTTTGTTGGCATAAAATGTTTTTTGTCATTTCCCTGTTGGAAAACATTTATGTTCTCTGGAGTTTAGAGGTAATGATTGAATCCTGTTAGCTATACAGTGGGGCAAAAAAGTATTTAGTCAGCCACCAATAGTGAAAGTTCTCCCACTTACAGATGAGAGAGGCCGGTAATTTTCATCATAGATATACCTCAACTATGAGAGACAAAATGAGAAAAAAAAAATCCAGAAAATCACATTGTCTGATTTTTAAAGAATTTATATACAAAATATGGTGGAAAACAAGTATTTGGTCAGTTACAAACGAGCAAGATTTCTGGCTCTCACAGACCTGTAACTTCTTCTGTAAG